GCCCAAACTGCTTTGAGCTCGGCCGCCAGGTCCAAACTGAGGAGAACATCGATGTCATCAGCCAGCTGTTTCGCCCATGGGTGGACCCTCCCCACGGTTGATCACACCGTCATCGTCCAACATTGGCATGGTGCGATTGGTTGCTCCCTCCACCGCCAGTGTGCCGAACAAAACCCGTCAAGAACTGCGAATGCTGAGACATCTCGTTCATCATGTCTCGCCACCACCACCCGCTCGCTATAGATGTTGTTGTTGTTGCTGCTGCTGTTGTTGTTGCTGCTACTGTTGTTGTTGTTGTTGTTGTTGTTGTCGTGGTTGTGGTTGTCGTGGTTGTGGTTGTTGTTGTTGTTGTTGTTGTTGTCGTTGTTGTTGCTGTTGCTGTTGAGTTTGTTGTTGTTGCTGCTGTCGTTGTTGTTGCTGCTGGTCTCGTGGTCGTCGTTGTTGTTATTTTTGTTGTTATGGTGTTGTAGTTGTTGGTGTAGGTGTTGTTGATGCTGGTGTTGCTGTTGTTGTTGTTGCTGCTGTTGTTGTTGTTATCCGCAAGGGCTTCGCCCCCGTGCCGCCGGCCCCCTCTCTTAGAATGGGACTTGCTAGTGCTGTGTTGGGATTTCTGGACGCTGACGTGAAGCAATGCGGGGACTTCACGCGAGGGCCAATATAGATTTACGAGGGTTGATGGCTTCGGTGGAGCGAGGTTTAGGTAACTTACAATGGTTTATGGTTTCGAGGACACGAATATGGCATAACTTCCGAGGGTTTGTGGCCTCGGGGACGCCATGATTTCGTAATGTTCTAGTGTTGTGTAAGCTACTAGGGATTATGGCTTCGGGGACGCGACTACCAGGTATTTGTATGGTCCCACGACCCCCCAGGAATTCAGACAAAGCGATTCTTGGACGCTAACCAGGACGCTTTTCGGCTCCCCCCCTCGCGCATTCAGCAACAATTAACAGTAAGGAAGCAGAAAGCAGGACTGTAAAAGTGGAAACTGGAAACTGCAACTAGCACAGGGAGCTACAAGCCTAATCTTCGCAGCCTAATTGCCCCGCAAGGGGGGCGGCGGAGTGTTGTGGATGTGGTTGGTGTTGGTGCTGTTGTTGAATGTTAATTACTGAACAATTCTTATCGTTGGACACCTTAAAGGCGCTTTGGCGCTCTCGCTGAGGCGCCGGCTATATTTTCATTGAAAATGAGGCTCACGCTCGAGCGGCTTGGAGGACCGCCAAAACCGGCCCCCCAACAACAACAACGCTCCCGCTCGAGACTTCCTCCTGTTTTACTCAGGGCTGGTGTTCTTGCTCGCCGCCGAAAGCCGCCGTCCTAACAAAACCAGCGCTCCCGCTCGAGACTTCCTCCCGTTTTACCTTGGACTGGCGCACTAGTCTTTCTCTCATCGGCGCCGCCCCCAGCAAAAACAACGCTCCCGCTCGAGGCTTCCTTTTTTTTGCTCAAGGCGGTGCTCCTCCTCGCCGCCGAAAACCGCCGCCCCGACAAAACCAGCGCTCCCGCCCGAGACGTCCTTCCGTTTTACGCTGGACTGGCGCCCTACTCTCTTTTGAATCGGCGCCGCTCCCAGCAAGAACAACGCTCCCGCTCGAGATTTTCTCCCTTTTTCCTCGGGACGGTGTTGTTCCTCGCCGCCGACAACCCCGTCCCGACAAAACCACGGCTCCCGCTCGATACATCCTCCGTTCTTACTCAAGGCGGTGTTTCTCCTCGCCGCCGAAAACCGCCGCCCCGACAAAACCAGCGCTCCCGCCCGAGACTTCCTCCCGTTTTGGCGCCCTACTCTCTTTTGAATCGGCGCCGCTCCCAGCAAGAACAACGCTCCCGCTCGAGATTTCCTCCCTTTTTCCTCGGGACGGTGCTGCTCCTCGCCGCCGACAGCCCCCGTCCCAACAAAACCACGGCTCCCGCTCGATGCGTCCTCCTTTCTTACTCAAGGCGGTGTTTCTCTCGCCGCCGAAAGCCGCCGTCCCAACAAAACCAACGTTCCCGCTCGAGACTTCGTTTTGTTTTACGCTGGACTAGCGCCCTACTCTCTTCAGCATTGGCGCCGCTCCCAGCAACAACAGCAGCGCTGCTCGAGACTTCCTCCCTTTCTATTGAGAGCCAGTTCCTTGCCTCACCGCCGACAGCCCCCATCCCCACCAAGGCAATCCTGTCGTTCGATACTTTCTTGTGCTTTACCCTTCGCTGGGGTTCCACTGGCGGTTTCGCATCGGCGCAGCAAGGCGCAGGCATGGGTTTTTGAGGCGGGAGCTGTTGAAATTCCTCGGAGGAGGTGTTTTGAGGCGGGCGGGAGATCTGGGAATGGGAATAACGGACCCCGCTATAGAACAAGAGCCCCCATGATGTGGATGGTGACCATGATGGTTGCACGCTTCGCATGGAAGCATAGTGCATGAGGGTAAACTGATTGTAGTAGTAGTAGTAGTAGTAGTAGTAGTAGTAGTAGTAGTAGTAGTACTACTACTACTAGTAGTAGTACTAGTAGTAGTAGTAGTTGTTGTTGTGATTGTTGTTGTTGTTGTCGTTGTGGTTGGGTTTGTGGTTGTTGCAGTGGTTGTGGTTGTTGTTGTTGTCGTTATTGTTGTTGTGGTTGTGGTTGTGGTTGTTGGTGTTGGTGTTGTCGTTGTTGTGGTTGTGGTTGTGGTTGTGGTGGTTGTGGTGGTTGTTGTTGTTGCTGTTGTTGTTGCTGTTGTTGTTGGTGGTGTTGCTGTTGTTGTTATTGCGGTTGTTGTTGTTGTTGGTGTTGTCGTGGTTGTTGTGGTTGTGGTTGTGGTTGTTGTTGTTGATGTTGATGTTGATGTTGATGTTGTTGTTGTTGTTGTGGTTGTTGTTGTTGTGGTTGTGGTTGTGGTTGTTGTTGTTGAACATTATTAATTCTAAAGAATAATTATTGTTGGGATCCCTGGTGCACGGCCCCCCTGCGCCGCCTAGGCCGCAGCTACATTTTCATCATTTTCGTGAGGAAGCCTCAGGTAATACGATGTCATCAAGATCCGGTTGTTTTGTTGTAATCCGTTTTCCCTTGCAAAAAACACTATAAAATGACATTTCTTGTTCTAATATAATCAAATTTCAAGAATCCCTTGCAAAAAATAAGGTAAAGTGGACATTCGCGCGCGCAAGACGAAATCCTTCCAAAAGCTTAGTGTTCGGAGCGATTTTAACATAAAAACATCAAAAAACCAATGGTTTTTCAACAAAAAAATGTCAAAATCTCATCCCGCGCGCTCTTGCGGATTCGTAGGAAACCCAACACTTTTTAAACATTTCTGTCAAACGGGCTTTTGCGAGCAACTTTTTCGAACTTCTGCGACAACGGTTGCGCACCTGCCAGGGCCATCATCCCTGTCAAATAATACCATGCGGGACACATTCGTTTTTTCTTCGCGCGCGCACGCCGTCGTCGTCGGCCGCGGGGCCCTGAATAGTAGCCACGGTCGTCCGCATGCCACGAAGTGAAGTGTCCGAACGTCATAGGGCGGGAAGCTGGGTGTGGGTGGTGGCGAAGAGTCGTTTGGAAATTTGGTAGAGCTTGAACCGGCCCCCCCACAAAGTGGGGGTATTGCCCGCCTCCTATGAAAACCCTGGCACTGGTGAGAACGGAGTGTCCCCACGTGCTAGTAATTGTTGTTGTTGTTGTTGTTGTTGTTGTTGTTGTTGTTGTTGTTGTTGTTGTTGGTTGTTGAACATTATTTATTCTAAAGAATAATTATTGTTGGGCCCCCTGGTGCGCGCCCCCCCTGCGCCGCCTAGGCCGCAGCTACATTTTCATCATTTTCGTGAGGAAGCCTCAGAAAAGAGGGTGTGTACAGGATCCGGTTGTTTTGTTGTAATCCGCTTTCCCTTGCAAAAAACAATAGAAAATGACATTTCTTGTTCTAATATAATCAAATTTCAAGAATCCCTTGCAAAAAATAAGGTAAAGTGGACATTCGCGCGCGCAAGACGAAATCCTTCCAAAAGCTTAGTGTTCGGAGCGATTTTAACATAAAAACATCAAAAAACCAATGGTTTTTCAACAAAAAAATGTCAAAATCTCATCCCGCGCGCTCTTGCGGATTCGTAGGAAACCCAACACTTTTTAAACATTTCTGTCAAACGGGCTTTTGCGAGCAACTTTTTCGAACTTCTGCGACAACGGTTGCGCACCTGCCAGGGCCATCATCCCTGTCAAATAATACCATGCGGGACACATTCGTTTTTTCTTCGCGCGCGCACGCCGAAATCTCCAAAAACCATCGGGACAACCATCAACCACGGAACACCATCGAACAACCATCGGGACAATCATCGGGACAGTCATCGGGACAACGATCGGGACAAGCACAACCATCAGGACAACCATCGGGACAATCATCGGGACAACGATCGGGACAACCACAACCATCAGGACAACCATCGGGACAACCATCGAGACAACCATCGGGACAACCATATCCTCTCTCTCTTGTGTATTCCCACATCCCTCAGGAATTTGCCCTAAAGATGTGATCAACTATCTTGTGAGTACGTATCATGTGTATCATGTGTATCATGTACCATATGCATCATATGCAACAGATGTTCTGTGGAAGGCTTAACAACTTCTGTGGGTTAACAAGGCTTAACAACTTCTGTGGGTGTACGAACGTAGGCTTAACAACTTCTGTGGGTGTGTACTCCACGCCAGTGTAGTAGCCACGGTCGTCCGCAGGCCACGAAGTGAAGTGTCCGAACGTCATAGGGCGGGAAGCTGGGTGTGGGTGGTGGCGAAGAGTCGTGTGGATATTTGGTAGAGCTTGCACTGCCCCCCCACAAAGTGGGGGTATTGGCTGGCGTCGCATGAAAACCCTGGCACTGGTGAGAACACTGAGCGTTCGGGTAAAGTGATTGTTGTTGTTGTTGGTGTTGTTGTTGTTGTTGTTGTTGTTGTTGTTGTTGTTGTTGTTGTTGTTGTTGTTGTTGTCGTTGTGGCGGTTGTTATTGCGGGCGCGCCGCGCGCCGCGGAGGCCAGCGAGCGCGGGCGGCGCGGCGCCCACGGAGGAGCCCGACGGGGCTGAGCCGAGGCCCCTCGCCCTCCTCGCCCTCCCCGCCCTCCTCGACTTTCCCTCCTCGACTTCTCCTCCTCCTCCTTCTTCCTCCTCCTCCTCCCCCTCCTCCTCCTCTTCCTCCTCCTCCTCCTCCTCCTCCTCGACTCCCCCATCCTCGCCCTACTCGGCCTCCTCCTCGCCCTTTTTTCTCCTCTTCCTCGTTGTCCTCCTCAACCTTCTCCCCGGTCCTCTTCCCCCTCCTCCTCCTGCGGACTGCTGATCGATGGTGGCTTCAGGGTCTGGCAGACGCAGCCGTCCCCCCACCAAAGGGCATCAGCCCCTGGGGGGTGGGTGATCGAACTGGAGTGCCACGCAGCGGAATCGCCGTGGCGCTCCCGGGCTCGGAGATCTCTCTGGAGGGGCCGCGCTGCCCGTGCGGCCGGATCTTCTGCCTCTCGGGTCCCTCGCAGGTCGGCGGTGGCCGCGTCCAGCGGCCGGGGGCCGCAGCAGCCGTGCCCGCTGGGCGGCCAGAGGCACCGCTGCCTCTCCGCGGAGGAGGCGGAGGGCGACGCGGCGGAGCCGAGGCGGGGCGCGGCCTTGTGCCGGTCGCAGGGCCACCGCCACGAGGGGGGGAGGTCTCGGATCGGTAGGATCGAAGCGGGTGCGGAGAGGATGGGTGCGACGCTCGACAGCAGTTCCTGGTCATTCCGAGGGGGGACGCGTGCCCATACCGCCACTCTTCCGCCGTGTGCGCCGTTTTGGGGCCTCCCAGGAGGCCCTCGTCGCCGCCGCGGGATGCGCCTCGAAATCCTGGTCAGAACGCACCCCGGGAAAGGTCCGGGGAGTAGCGGTATCGGTACCTGTTGGTTTCCCCATGCGTTTGAGATAGGACTCGCTGTCGGAGCCGCCGTTGACGTGGTCCATTTGAGGCAGAGGGCCGCCTGCTCTACAGTGCCGCTGTCGGCGGCTTTGGACAGCGCTTGCTGTTGGGCATCGTGCCCACGTTTTCCGTGCCCATGTCAGGCGTCCAGATCAGAGGAGGGCGAGTTGAGACAACGGTAGTTGGCCTTCGGTGGGTCTCTCGCCGCCACGGCCGGAGACGCAGCTCGGAAAGCCGGCGCGTTTGGGCCACGGGAGGGGCTCGGGGACCGCTTTTGAGCTGCCGTCCCGGACATGCTCGCGTCGCTTCTGGCCTCCAGGGTCCCAGGTCTCTCTCCGGCTGTCCGAGGGGAGCGGCCTGCAGAGGTCAGGCCAGGCAAATCGGTTCGGATGCAACTCCCGGGAGGGAAAGTCTGACTTTGCCCCGGTCTGGCTCAATCCGGCTGACTCTGCTTGAATCTGGGCTCATCCCGCCGCATCCGCGGCCGAATCCGGCGTGATAGCCCCCTCATGGGGCTTGGCTTCTCCCTGAAATCCTTCCGACGAGGACCCCCCAGCGGTTGCCTCCGAAATTCGAGATTTCCAAAAACAGCACGAGGCAAAGCCACGGCAAGCTCGAGGGAGAGCCGGGGCAGGCCTTGGACCCTCCAGCGCGAGCCGAGGGGCAACGGAGGTCGTCAGGCCCTTGGCGGGCCCCTGGCCCTCCCGTGCGTGGCCCCCCCCCCCGCTCTTGGCGTTGAGTCGTGCCTGTCCCTCTGCACTCGGATGCAACTCCTGGGAGGTCAAATTCTGATTTTGCCCTGGTCCGAAGTCGGGCTTAATCCCGCTTGTAATCCCGCTGGATCCCGCTTGATCCGGCTTAATCCCGCTTTATCCCGCTTAATCCGGCTTAATCCCGTTTCATCCCGCTTAATCTGGCTTAATCCGAGGCCCTTTCCGGCGTAACAGCCCCCCAATGGGGCTTAATCCGCTTTAATTTTTCCGACGAAAGCCTCCCAGCAGTTGCCTCCTAATCTACAGTCTGGAGGCGATTCTTCGACTCTTTCTGATTATTGTTGAATGCTCGTTTGGGACTGCTTCCTATGTTTCTCCCAAAGCCCGCCTCTAGGACATGCCCGACCCAAAACCCCAGGGTCCAAGAACCAAATTGCTCCAGCAGATCACCCTGGTAGCAGGAGGGGGCGAAGGAGAGGCGGGGCAGGGGCGGGAGCAGCGGGGGACATGGGGCGGGCGCACGGCCATCTGCACCGTGGCCTGCTCTCTTGTGGCACGTTCTGTGTCCTGGCCGCCCCGCACAAACACGTGGCCCGGCATCGAGGCGAGAGCACGGCCATTTGCAGCTCAGTAATGTTCAGGAGGGGAACAAAACACACGGACACAATGAATCGTCGATCCCTCAGGAATATGGGAAAATATGGGAAGTGGGGGGGAAGACAAAAACCCAGAAACTATGGGAAAATATGGGGAATAGTTTATTTGTGTGTATTTTTTTTTGTGTCCTGGGGCCCCTTCAATTCAGGAGGGGGAACAAAACACACGGACACAATTCATCGTCGATTCCCGAGGCAATCTGGGAAAGTATGGGAAGTGGGGGGGGAAGACAGAAAGCCCAGAACATATGGACAAACACTGGGAATCCTGCTATGTGTGTCTATGTATTTGTGTGTGTCCCAGGGCCCCTTCATATATATATATATATATATATATATATATATATAAATGTATATATTGACCATGCTATTTGTATCTATTTATTTGTGTGTGTGTGTGTGTGTGTGTGTGTCCCAGGGCCCCTTCATATATGTGTTGGCCAGGGATCGTGGCCGTCCAGATCAGGAATGTCGCCTGCACTGCGGCGAGAGCACGATCCCGAGTCGGTAGGGGAGGTGGAAGTCTCCAGCGAGGCGGCCGCCGGAGACTTCCCTTCTCGAAAACCACTCGCCCTCAATCCGTTAACCTCAGGCAAAGGTTTACAAAAAGAATACTCCAGATTTCGTAATAAAGGGAGGGGGGTCTTATTTCGGGGGGGGTCTCTTCCAGGCTATCTTGGAGGGCCTGGGGGGTCTGGGGACGATGTTTTGGAGGGTTCTCCTACGGGGGAGGTCTGAAATGGCTTGTCTTGGAGGGTCCAGGCCCCCTCCCTTTGATTACGAAATCTGGAGTATGTGCGGCGCTGAGGCGAGAGCCGCATTTGGAAAGCGGCCCGCCCTCCGTCTGTGAAGCTGTCGTCCACTTTGAAGCTGCAGGGTCATACATAGTGAGGAAGTCTCCGGCGAAACGCCCAGCCCGCCCTAAAAATTGGCCTCGGGGTGCGACAAGGAGAAGTTATGTATACGGGCAAGGAATTTAGGAGGAGGAGGAAGAGGCGGAGGGGGAGCAGGCGGAGCAGGAGCAGGAGCAGGAGCAGGAGCAGGAGCAGGAGCAGGAGGAGGAGAAGAAGGAGGATGAGGAGGAGGAGGAGCAGGAGCAGGAGCAGGAGGAGGATGAGGAGGACGTGGAGGAGGACGAGGTGTGGGAGGAGGAGGAGGAGGAGGAGGAGGAGGAGGAGGAGGAGGAGGACGAGGACGAGGACGAGGACAAGGACGAGGACGAGGACGAGAACGAGAACGAGAACGAGGACGAGGTGTGGGTGGAGGAGGAGGAGGAGCAGGACCAGGACCAGGACCAGGACCAGGACCAGGACCAGGACCAGGAGGAGGAGGAGGAGGAGAAGGAGGAGAAGTAGAAGTTGCAGCAGGAGCAGCAGGAGCAGCAGAAGCAGGAGCAGGAGCAGGAGCAGGAGCAGGAGCAGGAGCAGGAGCAGGAGCAGGAGCAGGAGGAAGAGCAGCTGTAGCAGCAGCAGCAGCAGCAGCAGCAGCAGCAGCAGCAGCAGCAGCAGCAGCAGCAGCAGGAGCAGGAGCAGAAGCAGGAGCAGGAGCAGGAGCAGGAGCAGGAACAGGAGCATGAGTAGAGGGCGGGGAGGAGGTGGGGACGGAGCATGGGTGGAATGGGGTAAGGAGAGGAGGGGCGATATGACGGGAAGGAGGAAGGGAAAGGGAGGAAGGGGGGAAGGTGAGGGAGGGGGGGGGGGGGGGGAGGGGGGAGGGAGGGAGGGGAGGGGGGGAAAGGGAGAGAAGGAGAAGGAGAAGGGGAGGGGAAGGGATGGGGAGGAGGAGAGGTATGGAAGAGTGGGGGGGAATATTAGCATCAGACCGATTGGCGGAGATCTATGTTGGACCTGTTCTGTTGTTGAACTGGCTGTTGAACTGGTCGCCACGATCCGCGCACCGTGATTCTATTCTTTCAGACGCTTCTGACTACCACAATGCCTTGCTGCGTGCTGGCCTCGACGACGACGACGACGACGACGACGAGCACCGTGAAGGAACAGCGCCCTGGAGGGACACGTGGATCTGGCAGGTCGTTCGTTGTTCTCGGGGTGCCAGGCCCCGGGAACGTCGAGCAAAACGACTCAAGATGAGTCGCGCTTGTCCTCGGGAGCGCCACGGGGGACCAGGACTGGCCTCCGCCAGTCTGCTCACCCCTGCGGGTGACGACGAGACCCCAGACAGCTTGCCAGCAGTGGCACGGATAGGCTCAGATCTCGTCCAGTGCGAGTACGGCGCGCTCGTGCCGCCTCGACGCGGCGGCGACGTCGGCGCGGGCGTTCAAGGCTGGGCACCCTCCCGTCGCCCGCTGCCCGCCCCCAGGACCGGCCAGGCGCAACCCACGGCGCCGAAGCCCACGCGAAGGAGGGGGTCATGAGCCTCCGGCGACCTTCGAGGGCAGAGCTTAGTGGGCCCTGGAAACGACAGGGATGTTTTTTTACCGGTTCCGTTTTGCCGTTTTTTTGCCGGTTCCGACGCTGTTTTTTTACCGGTTCCGTCGCCGTTTTTTGACCGGTTCCGTCTCCGGTTCCAATTCTGGAGCCGTTTTCTTGCCGTTTCCGGTCGCCGTTTTTTTGCCGTTTCCATTTTCAAGGGACATTTTTTTGGAAACGGTGAAAAAACGGCCCTGCCGTTTCTTGGGCTCGTGCACGATCGAGCGATGCGAGACGCCAGATTTTTGGGCCCGCCGGGATCTGAACGGACTCCTCGAAGGATTTTTGGCTGTGGCCGAGCGAGAGCTGGTGGCTCGTGGGGCCTCATGCTTCTTGCGGTTTTGACCTCTGGCTCCTCCTCTCGGGGCGTCGCGTCGCCGCTTCGCGGTGCAGAGGGAGCCAGGAGGAGTACAGTCGGGGCCCTGAAGAAGGAACCCTTTTCGTTGGGAAGGGGCTCCGCGTTCCTTAAGTGTTTCACAGCTTGCCTCAGGCTTTCCTTATGTCTTCGACAGGAAATCGAAGGTTAACTTATGGAAAAAAGGGGCCTCGTTCCTTATCTAGGGTTCCTTAGGTCAACGCCCCCACTGTACGGTCTGAAAGGCGTCCGCCTCCGTCTGGGGAGCGCTTCTGCTGCAGGAGGCACGTGCAGAAAGGACCTGGGCGAGCGGCCGCGATGACGTGTGGACTGACTCCGCAGAGGGCGTCCGCACACCACCGTTTATTATGAAGATCCTGGAGACCTCGCGCGAATAGTTGTATCATCTAGTCTTAAGTCGGGCCTGTCCTTCTACAAGGGGAATATTCAGAAATAGTCAAATTATAATCCGGGGACTACTTACGCAGGACGAAAGATTTTCCTCTTGAGGTGCAAATGGCCATGCTGAGATCGGCGGGGTGGATCGTAAGTGCTTCGGGTGGTTATATCTTGATAGGAACCAGCCTGTAGGTAGGATGCATCCTGTTTAGAAGTGGTCTAAGTCCTCCGATCCACTTGTTACTCAGACCCAAGAGGTTCGGGAAGATAGGAAGTAGGGCCAGCGTTTTCCCCCGCTTCGTAAGTAGGATCGGCTAAGTGGTCTATCCACTTACGGGGCTTAGGCCAACCAGGTTAGCGAGGATAGCGAAGTAGGTTAGAGGGGCTACCTAAGCAGGTTAGCTCGGCCGCCTTGAAACCAGAAGCTCGTCATACTGCTTCTCATCACTCGTCTTCTCTCGCACTCTCCTCCGTCTCGTTTCCCTCCCCTCGCCCTTCATGTACATCCTCCCGCTCGTCCTTACGCATCTGGGGGGGGGTCGAATGCTCCCGCGGGGGGGGTATCGTCAACCATAAGGGGGAGCAAGAACAGGAGAAGGAGGAGGAGAATAGCCATTTGGGCTCAAGCTTCTTGTTGGCTTGGACGTGGCCCTTCCGCGCTGCAGCGGAGTGCTTCACCATGTCCTTTGGGAGCGCCATCGCTCAGGCGATCCAGGAGGTGAAGCCGATCATCATGGAGGTGATTGCCGATCACGAGGCGTCGGGCGAGGACGGCGCGAATCAGATCATGGTGAAAGCAGAGCACATCATCAAGCTGCTGGTCGGCAGGAAGCTCGCCAACGCAGGAGTGTGGCTGAAGTGCACGCAGGTCGGAACTCACCCTGCCAACCGATTCGGAGCAGGGTTAGAGATCGTGGACGTCCACGACTTGATGAAGGTGATCGTCGAAGGCGGCTTCAGGTACGACAAGTGTCAGGGAGCCGTCTGCTTCGAGATAGCGCCAGGCGGGGTGAGGTCAGAACAGCACTGGAAGTTCAACGACGACCTTGCGACTTCCAGCGGGGGCTTCTTGCCTCAGTTCAATCCTTCGGACCTGAAGTACTTGAGCGTGGCATGCTCACACACCGTGGCGGGCGCCAGGTGCGTCGAGCTCGGCGCGTTCGGTATGGACGAGAAGTTCAACGACGATTCTGGACGCATTTCTCGCGCAAAGGTGCTGGCCAAGTGCTCTTCCTACGAGCAGGTAATTACGCAAGGAATGCCATGGACGGTGATTCGCCATGAGGTGGACGCGGAGATGCCCGAGCTGGCGTGGTTCCTGCAAGAGGCCGACAACGCCAACAGTGGCGCGAGCCGCCAGCAGACGAAGATGCAGACCCTTCTGCAAATACATAAGGTCGCGAAGCAGAACATCAAGACCTTCGGAGATGCCAAGTGGGAGTCCATCCAACTTCAGATCGAGAGGACGCGGCCCCACCTCAGCGGACAGGTAGCGGATATGAGCAAGTACGTGGAGCTGTACTCTGGAGGCGACAGTGGGTCGCTCTTGGACGAGCTTCGGGACTACGGCAAGACCGTGGGCGACCGCAGGAGGGACGTGCACGGCTCCTTCTTCGGCATGCTCGCGAGGGTCGGCTTCTTGCAGGGCCCCGAGTACATCACCGCATGCGTCAAAGCATGCCTCGTCGCCCCCGACCAGCACTGCCGTGATGGAGTGGCCAAGTTGCTCAACAGCACGGACATGTCGGCCATCAAGGGCTCCAAGAAGTCAGAAGTCTCAGCGTTTCTGGCCACGACGGCAACGATCAAGACATTCTTCGCATCCACTCCAACGCTGAGCAGCGCGCAGAAGGCCAAACTACTTGGAGACATGCAGGTGCGCTGGGTGTTGTTGATCCACAGCAAGCAAGTGAAAGGCCGCAAAAAGTATTCGAGCAGCAACGCTATCAAGGACCAGTTCGTCGGCGAGCTGCTGACGATTGCCCCTGATGTAACGCCACCGTGGGCTCGGTCTGAGCAATTGCGTGCTGCTCCGACGGAGCCTGGAGGAAACTTTGTCGAGTTCACAGCGACGTCTTCAGGCATGGTGGTCAGCGACGGCGCGCTCAAGACCAACGGCTTCGTCGTCGGTGCGGTGGTGGCCCTCAAAACTGACAAGAACCAGAAGCGCGCCATCATGGAGATCAGCTCTGGCAAAGTTTCCTTGGGGATGTTGAGCTCCATGGAGACATCCAAGAAGCGGAAGGCCGATGAGGACGAGAACGACGAGAACAACGGCAGCATCGTCGAGATCAGCAGTAGCGAGCTGATCGACGAGTACGAGGTTGGCATCGGGATGCAATTGCAGGATGAGCAGGAGGAGGAGGAGGAGGAGGAGGAGGAGGAGGAGGAGGAGGAGGAGAGGAAGAGGAGGCGGAGGAGGAGGAGGAGCATGAGGAGGAGGAGGGGAAGGAGGAGGAGGAGGAGAGGAGGAAGGAGGAGGTGGAGGCAAACCAGAAAACGAGGTGCCACCGAACAAAAAAAAACTTCGACGCAACTGAAACCGAACAACGATTTTAAACCACACCCCCCCTCACCGAGGCTTCTCTCCTTCTCATCCTCCCCGCCGCGCCCCTCCCAGGTGGTCCCCGTCAACTCGATCCTGCGGATTCCCGTGGGCTCGGTGGTCAGGGCAGACAAGCACAAGGACACCGTGCTTGAGAAGATCAGAGCCCAGGTTCCTATCTGCAGCGCAACGCAGAGGAGGATGAGGAGGTGGGAGCGGAGGAGGATGAGGAGGAGGAGGAGGAGGAGGAGGAATGAGGAGGAGGAGGAGGAAGAGGAGGAGGATGAGAAGGAGGAGGAGGAGGAGAAGGAGGAGGATGAGGGGCCCGAGCGATTCACCTCCAGGAGGTGAGTCGTTCGGGTCCCTCCTCCTCCTCCTCCTCCTCCTCCTCCTCCCTTGCTCCTCCTCCCCCCCCCTGTTCCTCCTCCTCCTCCTCCTCCTCCTCCTCCTCCTCTTCCTGCTCCTCCTCCTCCTCCTCCTCCTCCTCCTCCTCCTCCTTGGAGGCCCATTTGTGATTACCCGCTTGCTTTTTTCTCTGAGGTTCGGCTTGCGCTCACCGACGCCTATGCGCACCGCAGTGAGGGCCTCGAGCTCACCGTCACGCTGGATAAGAAGGCCCGCGGCGTTGTGGCAGATGCTTCCTTTGCGAAGGGTGAGCTGACGCTTGTCCCTCTGAGCTCGAGCGTGAACGTGGCCCCGAAGATGTCGAACGGTTCAGTTGAGATTGTGTGTTCCCCGCCCATGAAAGACCTCAAAGTGTTTGTAACGCCGAGGTGTGAGTTGCACGTGCCCAAGCCAGGTTGCCCTCAATTCGTTGTCCCGTTTTTTTGTGTTCCGTCCTCGGACACCGCTGCGAACATGATTCGGTCTTCTGTCACTGTTGTAGTTGGCTCCCGCATCGACGGGAACACGGTTGAGACTAAGCTGTCCATTCCAGTTCTCGTGAATTCGAAGGCCGTCAAGGTTGGAGAGTCCCTTGTGTGCAAGCTCGACCCAGCCCCGAAGGCCGTTGTCACGAATCCCCCGCCAAAGGCGCGCAAGTCAGCTTAGATGCCCGAGCCCTCTTATCAGTTCGAGCTTTTTTCTTGAGAGGGAGCGCGCAGCTCGATACTGTGGTGAAGTGAGAGATTGAGAAGGACGAGGAGGACAACGATGAGGAGAAGGAGGAGGAATATTGGCAGGAGAAGGAAAAGGAGGAGAAGGAGGAGGAGAGGGAGGACAATGAGGAGGAGGGGCAGGAACAAGAGGAGGAGGAGGGAACGGGAGGAGAAAGATGATGTGGAAGAGGAAGAGTATGTTACAGGAAGGCACTCACAGATAAGATCGCACTCTCGCGCTTCCAGCTTTCTTTGCCGATTCGCTCTGCCAGTTCTTAAGTGCACCGTGCGGGTTTTGGTGCTGAGGGCGCCTGCAGGGCGGAACCAACTTTTGCATCAGCAACGCATGCCCGTCTGCTCGCGATGACTCGTGTGATCTCGAGAGTGAGGCCTCACAGAGACCAGAGAATGTGAACGAGGATATCGCACCACCGAGAGACCTCAAACATACCCCCGAGGAAGACCTCAAACAGACCTCGAAGATACCAGAAATCATCAAAGAGACTTCAATTGACCCCAAAGGGACCTCACAGAGACCTCAAGGAGACCTTAAGAGACATCAAGAGGCTTCAAATATACCAGAGAACGTCAACGATACCTGCAAGAGGAGATCTCAACAGACCTCAATGAGACATCAAAGACCTCAAATATACCAGCAAGACAAATCTAGTAACGACAACGCCCAACCAAATGATCAAACGCCAAACGGTCCACACACGAGACACCCAAATAACCAACATGTCCAGCGCCCAAATTTAAAAACGACAAGCCTATCCCCCCAAACCCTGACAAAACGTACACGCCCGTCTTCCCACCATCCTGCCGCGTGCGTGTGTGTGCGTGTGTGCGTCTAGCCGTTTTGGCTCAAACTCTGCATTCGCAAGCCTCGTTACTTCAGTTCAGTGCTCCAACCAGTTTCAGTATCGGCCGATGCCTGTGTTCACGAAGAGTGGGCTCGTGTGCGTCTCAGCATCGCAGGAGCGATGCAATCCTACTTCGGCCTGGGTCGCCGAGGTAACGAACATCGACGGCCATGCATTCGTCACAACCGACAAGCAGGACAGCAAGTTCGTGAAATTCGTGGGTCAGCAATTCGAGATGCTGAACTTTTTGACGGCGCAACGCAACGATGAGGTGGACCGCCTCATGGAGGCGGCAGCTCGCGATGCTCAGAGAGCAGGCCCAGGTCTTGACGTCGATGAAGCTGAGGAGCCAGCCACCAAGAAGGCTCGCAGGGACGCCGTCGACGACATCCCGCGCACCATCCAGCTCAATGTCCAAGTGGGCGGTGTAACGCGCGCTGTCAGGGTCGCCACGGCCGCGATCCGTCGCGCGAAGCTGGCTATCGAGTTCACGGACGACGCCCTCGAGCTTCTGCAGCTGGAGCCTGACGTTTCCGTTGAGAGGGAGCCTGATCCCATCATCGACATCGACCACGTCGAGTGGGTCCGCTTTAGGAACTCCGTGAAGACCTCGTACTACGATGCGTCCAAGAAGAAGTGGCGCACAAAGTCTATGGCTGTCGAGGTCGGCCCAAACTTGCAGGAGAGGGCGGTGGCCATGGCAAGGGTGCTGGCAGAGTACAGGCAGCAGCATCACACCGAGCCTGACGAGCAGGACTGATGATGCTGCTGCTGCAGTTTTTGTTTGTGCTGTAGTGGAATGTTTGCTTACACTGCTGTCCAACCCTCCTGTGTGACATGCATTCGACGGGGCATGCTGCAGTCGCACACGCTAGCTAGGCCGTATCCTGTGAACATTCAGACGTGCGAGGTCTCGTTAGAATCGAGACCTCATCTGGCTTTTAGGTTCATTCTGTGGCGTAGCATAGAAGCTGGACCGTTGTGGAAGGCAACGCATACAGCAACGAAACTTCCAGCCACCGTGGCAGTGTACACCACGCTTAGCTCAGAAAAACACAGCATCAGCATCACATCGCCACCGTGCCATCCCTCCTCAGCCCCTCCCCTGGTGCCCTCGAACGACACAGAGCAGCCGACCTCTCTCGTGGAGCGAACTGCCCAGGAGCAGTTCGCTCCTGTGGAGCGAACTTCCCAGGGGCAGTTCGCACGATCGTGCTTTCACCTGTGGGGGGGTTGAAGCATTTTGTGAAAACCGTTGGTGACGCACGTGCTGACAGTCACAGGTTTGCGAGCCCAACCCCTCACCAGATGTTCGCTCCTCTGGCGCAAACTCCCCCACAGAAGTGAGCACGGCGGTGCGAACTGCTCCTGGGCAGTTCGCTCCACAGGAGCGAACTCCCCAGGAGAAGCCCGGCCACTGGGACCACGCCTGCTGGTTACGGCCTCGGTAGGCCTAGATGGATCTAGAGGGTGCCGTCGACCTTTGGAATTGTGTAGATTTCTGGTATGCTCACAGGCTCTTGGAGGCTCCTGGAGGCTCCTGAAGGCTCCTGGGGGCATCTCGAACGCATGCGATCGGGTTGTGCTTCGGAGGATCTTGGAGGCACCTCTCAATACCTCTCACCGCCAGGCTGGATTCAAACGGTCGAGTAGGATTGGAGGAGAATGAGGATGAGGATGAGGAGCAGGACGCAGAGGCAAGGGGAGAACAATGATGAGGATGAGGAGCAGGACGCAGAGGGAAAGAAAGATGATGATTGCGAGGAGGAGAAGGGAAAGAGGAGGAGGAGGAGGAGGAGGAGAAGGAGGAGGAGGAGAGCTGTCGCGAAGAGCGAGAGAGGAGGAGGCAGACTGAGGACGAGCCAGCCTCAAGCAAAAAGAACTCACACCGTTTGGATGCGAAAGTTGTCCTCAATCCTTCCTGGGCCATCTCCATCCTCCTCCGTCCCCATAGCCATTTGGGCTCAACTATAGCTCGGCTTCCATTGCTGCGCCCTCACCTTCAGACGCAAGTTGTCTCGTTCAGAATGTCGGACTCTGCTTTTCATGCCCGGCGCTTGATCTCAATGCTGCGGGAGCGCCTTGCGTTCGTGAACGCCCAGGCCCACGCGGGCCTCGATCGCAACATTCTGGCGCAAGCCCAGGTCAACGCTCTGAACGCGAGCTTCTCGTCTGCCCCTGGGATCGACCTCGCCGTTGCCACCGCCGTCACCCAGGAGATCTCCAACGGGCCTTGGACGCAGGAGCAGAAAATCTCCATGGCCACCACGCTGAGCCAAAGGGCTGAGGCCGCTGGGCGCGCTGGCGGCAACGTCGCCCGAGCCCAGCAGAAGTGCAAGGCTTTGCAGAAATTCTTCACGGCCGACGACTGGAGGGCGATCACCAATGATGACCACTCCGAGATCATGAAGATGCACGTGGTGGCCAACAGGATGCACAAGCTCGGCATCTCCTGCGCCGCCGAGAAGTTGCTCATGAGGGGCATCGCGATCGTCATCTGCTGCCACAGCTCCTTCAGGCAGTCGCCTCCGACGCCTCAGTTCAAGAAGAAGCTGTGCCAGGACCTCCAGACGCGGTTGAAGGATCTCTACACTGTCACGCCCTGGCCCTTCGCGCACATAGCGACCTACCCAGATGACCCACACCTGCTCACGCCTGCCGCGGTCTTCGACCACGCCTTCTCGGACGCGCGCCCTGTCGAGCCCCCTGCCGAGATCGATCAGTTGGAGGTTGAGTTCAATTCAATGCGCTACAGGGAGTCGAGCAAGGTGCTTCGTGGCGGTGGCTCGGCAACCACGCCGAACCTCCAACACCTGCGCTCGCCTGCCACGGCCCTTGCCGTACCAGCGCGCCACCAGCAGGACCCGCTTCAGTTGCTCATGATGCTCGCGGCCCAGGCGTACGGGGGACTCGGTGCCCCAGGCATGCCCAACATGTTCGGCGCTGGCGGGGCTAGCAGCAACGGCGGCTGCAACGTAACGTTCACGAAGCCCGAGGAGGTGCGCAACAACAGTGCGGCGATTGTCCCTGCTGCAGCTGGCGAGTCGCCGCCTTCGGACTCCCCTCCTCCGACCTCGCTGGCTCTGAGCCCGCCGTCAGAGGTTCTGAGTCCGCCGTCAGCGGCGCCGCCAGTTGGCGCGAGCGTCCTCGGCACTCCTGGCTCTGATGCGGTCGCAGAGTTCGAGAGGCACATGCTGGACGCCGCGGACTCTTCCAGGCCGAGGGCGAAGGGCAAGGACAAGCCGAAAGGGAAGGGCAAGGCGAAGGGCAAGGCCAAGGCCAAGGCCAAAGGCAAGGCCAAGGCCAGAGCCCAGCCTGCCCCTGCTGCCCGCAGCCGCCACGCGATCGACTACTCGAAGTGGCTGAAGCCAGCCGACGCCAAGACCCGCAGTGAGAACGCCTTCACGAGCCGCGCGTACGATGCGGCAAAGAGGCTGGCGGTCGCAGCTGGCATGAGTGAGGTCGACTGCAGGGCGATCGCCAAGGAGGCCTACCACCAGGCCAAGATGGTTCACCAGAAGCATGTGCGCAAGTAGGGCCTAGGGCCCCTCATCTTTTTAGTTCAGTCTGCTTCCCTCGCTTCGTCGGATCAGTTCCGAGCCACGGCACCATGAGGGTTTGGTGTTAGAGCTGGTAGGCGGAGCCGCGGATGCATGCAGAACCGCTGCTGCAGGACATACTGTATACCCTTTTTGCTGCAGCATACGTAGGGCCTCTGAGAGGTAAGCGCAGAACTCTCAGAGAAAGCTAGCGATGATAAAGCATCGTCACCACAAGCATTGCAACCACCGTCATCATCAGCCTCCGACCCATAGCAATCACCATCAGCATCGTCACCAGCATCAGCATCAACATCATCATGAGCAGAATCCTGAAACGGGGCTGTGAGTGAATTGAGAGGAAGTCTCAGGCGGGAGCCACCTCACGCCAGAACTCAAGCCGAGGCTGCCCGCATAACTGACCAGAATCGCTGTGACAGCCGAGAGGGTATCGAAACGTATGCGACCAAGGCGACGAAAACAACAAACAAATCAAGCCACACAAATCCAACTACGCAGGCCCCCACACCAGAAAAAAAACACTGTTTAAA